CTTTAAATTATCTTTCGTTTTTTACATTATCTTTCGTTCTTTAAATTACCTTTCGTTCTTTAAATTATCTTTGGTTCTTCAAATTATCTTTGGTTCTTTAAATTATCTTTATAAATTACCCTTCAGAATTATTTTTGCGAAAATAGACGATTACAGTGGATACTTGCACTTCAGGCATTTAAGTATGAGCTATTACGTGCGCGACGCAATTTGTTAATTGTGCTAAATAATCGCGGGGATGCGTCGTAAATTGGGTTTACAAATTTCCAAAGAATCCCGAGAAGTTCAAAGAAGGATTAGCCGAGAAATGTTTGTAAAGTTTGCCAGCAGTCTGGCATAATGAAATTATGATTTAAGTTGTTTGCAACATAGAAGTTTCTAGAAAATCAACAATCGGTGTTTAATACCGCAAAGTCGGACTCCGGTCTTCTTCAAAAGGTCCTCAAAATAACGTTTCCGCAGTCTTCCTTTTTTTATCATCATTATTTATTATCATTATATTTTCTAAAAAATTTATCGCGTTTTGAAAAGTGTCCGAATATTATAATATAATATTATGATATTATAATATATAATAGAACGGGAGTCACCGTATATAGCACAAATACGGGACACAAAACGACCCTCCCCCAAGCAAATCTTAAACCATTTAAACACCTCGAGCAAACGTTCTAGAGTTAATAGTTCTCAGAACTGTTTGCAATCGAAAAGTCACCTAGTTGGAACTCTGTATAATCACGTGCCCAATGCTCGGAAACCGTTCCACTATCTCGCTATCGGGACTAAACACCGACGCGACGCGACGGGACGTGACGTTTACCTAAAATCTGCGCGTGTCCCGAGGCTTCTGAGCGGGCCTGTACATTAAAAGTGTAAAACCGGGATGCACGATTGCAGATAAAAGTCGAAAGTAATAAGTCGAAGGATCGCGGCATTGTTCGAACAGAGATTATAAAGGGACCGGGCGTACTGCGGGCTCTGGGTGTGCCAGATAAGAACAGGGACGGGGACGGGGCAGGGGGTGGGCGATCATCGCCGCGGGGGTGAAGGGAATCGGAGCCAGAGAACTGGAAGAGGGAGACAGAAAGAGAGAGAAAGAGAGAAATAGACAGAAAGAGAAAGATAGAAATATAGAAATAGAGGGAGAAAGCGAGAGAGAGAGAGAGAGAGATCGTGAGAGCGAGAGAGAGTAAGAGAGAGCGAGAGAGAGCGAGAGAGACAGCGAGAGAAAGAGAGAGAAAGAGAGCGAGAGAGAGCGAGAGGGAGAGAGAGAGAGAGAGCGAGAGAGAGCGGGAGAGAGCAAGAGGGAGAGGAAGCGCGAGAGGGAGAGAGAAAACGAGAGAGAGAGAGAGAGAGCGAGAGCGAGAGAGAGAGAGCGAGAGCGAGAGAGAGAGCGAGAGCGAAAGAGAGAGAAATAGACAGGAAGAGAAATATAGAAATATAGAAATATAGAAATAGAGAGAGAGAGAGAGAGAGAGAAATTTAGAAATAGAGGGAGAGCGCGAGAGAGAAATTTAAAAATAGAGAAAGGAAGAGAGAGAAATTTAAAAATAGAGAAAGGAAGAGAGAGAAATTTAAAAATAGAGAGATGGAGAGAGAAATACACAGAAAGAGGGAGATAAAAATATAGAAATACAGAGACAAGGAAAGAGCTATATACCGAAATAAAGAAATAAAGACAGAGAGAAAGGGACACACAGAGAAAAATAGGGAGAAGAAGCGAGATAGACAGAAAAGACAGAGGGAACTGGAGATCGAGAAATCGTGAAAAACGGAAACGGATAGAGAAATGGAAAGGGAGTGGGAGAAATCGTAAGAAGAAGGGGGACGCAGGGGAAAGGAATTTAGTTTAAAAAATATATGTGTATGATCGATCAAGTAAACACGAACGTAAGTAGGTCATGAGCGTTCGCTCGTCAGCGTACGCTTCTTCCGTGCATCTTGCTGCTGCGGAAACTTCAGAAATTCAGCAGGAACTTTCCGAACCGCCTCCGCTGTCGGGTCGCCACCGCGGATTTATTAAAGAACATCCGGCGATGATTCATGCCCCGTTCAAAGTTACCACTCGATCTCATGTTCCGTTACAATATCGTCGTTATCATTAAATAGGCAAACTTTCGTCGACCCGGAGGGCCGCGAACGGCTTCCCATTCGGCCATCCCCGGGGCTCACAATGAAAACTTTTCCTCGTAGCAGATTTCCAAAGGGCCCTTATCCAACGTCGGCGATCGTCGCGACGCCCGCGACCGGCGCGCGAGCGTTACGATGGTCCTTATTTTTTTCTTAAAATCTGATCTTTTCTTTCTAATCTAATCTATCTGAATTGCGACGCTCGGTGAACGAAAATGATGCGCGAATCGTTTGAAAGCGATCGGATAACGGGAATCCGTGCCACATTTGAAGTTTCAACATTTCTACGTTCGTATTTTCAAGCAGAAGAAAAGTCTTCCCTATTTCTTGTTAATTTTGGAAATACTTTTTATTTGGACCACAGTTATTTAGACTTCGATCGTGTTCCTGATTTCTTTTCGGTGGTCGAACTTCGATCTAATTTGAATTCTATTCTATTTATTTTAATTCCCGTAAATAAACCACGGTAACTGGCTCCACTGCTCTGTATTGTCACGATTAAAAATCGTTCAAAATCGGAAGTAAATACATGCTCGGTACTTTCACGAATGCATATAAGATGGCTGCTTTTAGCGCTCCGTGAACCTAACCTTAACCCTCTTGCCGTAACATTTTCTTCGTAACGATCAGAAGTTTCTCGATTGTAATCATTTTTAAGAATAACAGAGACAATTTACATTTATTGCACGCCTGCATTCAGTTGAATGCTTAAATATCGACGACAAGAGACAGAATTTGATTTCAACTTTAAAAAAGCAACATAATATTCATACTTAACAGGTTCTCCATCGCGTGTCAGACTCGTCGAAATATAGCAAAAGGTTAACAATCTCCCTGATCGAGCGAGATCATTTTCGTTTCCCGTAATTCTTCGTCTAGCTTCTTCCCGAGATTTTCGATGAAATATTCAACTTTCATTCGCTTCGGCAGAAAGTCCCGGACACGTTGTTACAATGCAAAAGCTTTGAGTGTCGAAATTTCGAAGTGGCAAGAGCGAAAACGATCTCGAAAGAAGATGCCTGATCCTAGATGCCTGTGCATCTACATGGTGTCCCAAAAATGTCTCGCAATACGGAAACGTGGGGTAGCTGAGGTCATTCTAAGTAACTCTTTCCTTTGCGAAAATGCAATCTGCGGCTTTGTTTACGAGTTATTAACGAAAAACACTGACCAATGAGAGGTGAGCTCGCCCACCGCTTGGCCGGCCGAGCCAATGAGCGCACGAAGCCCAGTTCCGCTCATTGGGTCGGCCGCCTTGCGCCAGCATATCTCACCTTTCATCGGTCACTCTTTTTCGTTAATAGCTTGTAAACAAAGCCGTGAACTGTATTTTCGCCAAGGACAAACTTACTTCAAATTACCTCGGGAACCACCCATTCCCGGGTTGCGAGACATTTTTGGGACACCCTGTATAAGAACCACCGTACCGAGCAAACTAAACAGAGGAGTACAGCGGACGCGTCGCTGCGCGGCGCGTCGATCGTTAATAGACGGCCGGCGATTAATTGCCGATCGTTAGTCACGCTCTCTGTTTCAGCGGGAGCAGTACTTTCTTCGCTCGATATCCGAGGGCATTAGATGGATCGCGTTCCGTGAAAGACTCCGGGCCGCGCCGCGCCGCGTCACGCCGTCTTAAACTAATCAGGAAAGTACACACACTTTATCGTTATGCGGGAGAACGTGAGCTTCGGTGCACTTAACGCACCCAAAGCCCGAGACCGGTGTAAGTGCACCTGTGCACACGGCCAGAGTGTGTGTGTGCATTGCCTATGCATTCATCCCTCCGGTGCGTGCAGCTTGCACCGCCGTACACCGCCGTGACGTGCGCGAGCGAGCGAGCGCGCGCGCGCGCACGGCAGCGTGCATGTGCAATGTGCAACGTGCATATGCGCCGCGGAGCTTTTATCGATGAACAAAAACCGGGTGAGAATGTTTTACTGTGCCCGGCGCGGACTCCCTGCGGGATTAACAGTGTTAACACTTAACCGGCGGCACGTTTTCAAATATTCCATCCGCTCATCGGCCGCTCAGGTAATATAGGCTACGGTGTTACTCCTGGTGTATACGGATTACACCGGCCATTTCTATCCGTCTAAAATGTCTTTATTAATTCAGCCACCAACTGGGTGTCCCAGTTTTTACCGGCATCCATTGCTCTAGCGACAATTGGCAGCATTGTCGCGCGAACATACCCGGTTGTACTCAGAAAATTCAGCGTACACAATTTAAAACGCGATAACCTTTTTGAAAACTGGACTAAGTGACTTGAATTCTTTATAGATGACAGAGGGACTAGTCTACTAGACGACGAAGGTGGGCTTCGATGCTTCGATAAATACGTTGATTATGCGTAAAATACACTTTTTAAGGCGCGATAACTTTTTTGAAAACTGGACTAAGTGACTTGAATTCTTTATACAGGGTATCCCGAAAATGTCTCGTAAATCGGAAATGGGAGGTTCCTGAGGTCATTTGAAGCAACTTTTTCCTTTACAAAAATTTTCTCCGAGGCACCGTTAACGAGTTATTAACGAGAAACAATGACCAATGGGAGGCGAGCTCGGCTGGCGCGAGGCGACCGAACCAATGAGCGGAACTGGGCTTCGTGCGCTGGTTGGCTGGGCCGCCTCGCGTCAGCCGTATTCGATTCTTATTGGTCGCTGTTTTTCGTTAATAACTCGTTAACGGTTCCTCGGAGAAAATTTTTGTAAAGGAAAAAGTTGCTTCAAATGACCTGAGGAACCCGCTACTTTCGGATTACGAGACATTTTTGGGACACGCTGTATATATAATATTATAATTAGGGTTAAAATATATAAAAGGTTATATAATATATATAATATTATAATATATAATAATTATTTTATAGATGTTGGCACTCGGTAACTATAAATGTTTCCTCCTCCCAAATTGTTCATTTACTATACATATGTATAAACCATTGACGCAATCCAGTATCGATCATCGGACGGTAAGAACGCACACGAAATTGGATACTATTAAATGAAATTTCCACAAGGATTCCGTTTTGTATGTGTTTCAGGTACAGGTGCACTCGAGAGAGCCCGGTTATAAATGCTCCCGGAGCACCGCGGAGGCAAAGATCAAAGTTCACGCATCGATATTCGAACACGATCACCCGCACAATTGTGTCCCGTTATCGATAAATTTCATTCAGGGCACTCCTTTTATCGTCCGCGATCATCGTTCCATGCGCCGTGCCCCCCTGGCGATCCCGGACTACCGGAAGAAGAACGCCGAAAAATCAAGAACCCGGTGACCCGATTTCGAAAACTGAATCTCAAGTCCCGCAACAGAACCATGTTACAGTAATTTCTCCCTAATTCGCGATCAGATCGCGCACAAAAATTGACAATTTGAGAAGAGGAGATTAGATTAATTTCAGGCCTTAACGCATAAAACGAAAGAAATATTTATAAAAAAAACAAATATCGTGGCAGTCGATTCGTCGCAATTTTTCCTTCAATGTCATCCGAAGGTCATCGTGTAGCAGGTCGTTCAATTCGTCTCGACGTTGCCTACGACACTGCGAAGCTAAAACTGCCTAGTTTCACTTAGAAATAGAACGGTGACCTTGTTTCTTTCATCGAAGATCGATTTGTTTTTAAATTTAGACAATTGCATTTTTGTGTTGATTAAATACTAATTAACTTTGACCATCCTGTATATAAGGCCGGTGGAAAATCGCGGTACAACCGGCCAGGGGATGATTCTACATGGAGAAATAAGTCGGAAAAATAGAGAAACATTTTTTCATTTAAGACTGCGTTTTCTAGGAAAATAAGTTGTTTAAAGATCCGATATACGTGACATAAATAAATAGTATAAATAATAATAATAAAGTATAAATATAATATAAATATAGTAATATATTTCTTCCACCAACTTTTACTCGAACACAGAGCCGTGAATGGAAAAAAGAAAATGTTATCCTTTTCTCGACTTATTTTTTACCGCGATTTTTCAGCCACCCCGTATACATTTTATTTTTAATTTTAGCGCGACGCGCACAGCGAGCGTCAAGAAACGATCGAATAGATTCCTTTTTAACGAGCTTACGTCATCAGAAAAATAGCGGAAAGTCTGGCCGAATTGATTCCTGCCATTTTCATAAAGCAACGCGACGTTGCTCGTTTCCAGAGCTCGGCGGATTTAGCGTTTAATCGATGCGCGATACAAATCGGTTTCCTCGATTCTTCCCGTTCAAGGGTTACAGCTCCGGTTACACGTTCAACCCTCTCGGAAAGCATCGAATCGTCGCTGGGGATTTTACCAAAATTTCAATTCTCAAAATAAGGTTATTATCAGCGAGTGAGATTAGATATTCGTCGATTAGGGTAGCAACGGAATAGAGTAGAGCGTATAGCCACCGTAAACGCAGCGTCTTCCGAGTCCTTCGAACGCTCTTCATTCTTGTAGGTGTGTAATCATTCCGATTCGATAGTTCTGCAGCGCAGCGCGCAACTCCGAAAACGATGACGCACGAATGCATACTTTCGTCGGGGCCGTCGAAACGGCGCGATAGCGTCGCCGACGATAAGAAACAATCTGACAGACAACTGGACACAATTTTGACACTTGCTGCTCTTAAAACGATCTGCGGTTGTTCCCGAGGCAAATATATGTTTCTCAGTTCAGAATATGTTTCTCAATTTTCACTTCTTTATTCCTGAAACACGAACATTATTTGCGCTCAAAGATATTTGAACGCCGCAACTCTGAAAGATCTTTGTTCTGCTTTCGAATGAAACGTTGGACAGTTGTAATATAATCAGACCCGAATGTACAGAAATTTATCGGACGCGAATATATTTAGTAGTGTAGAAGTTGTCTTAAATTACGGTGTACAATGTAAGATTGACGGTATAATATAGCATGGAATGTGTACTGTATAAATGTATACGGTATAATATATACAGTATATTAGAATATAAAAGTATACGGTATAAAATATACAGTATATTATAATATAGAAGTATACGATATGAAATATACAGTATATTACAATATAAAAGTATGCGGTATAAAATATACAGTATATTATAATA